GATCCTTCGCCTGAAACGAATCTTGATGGACCGTAGCAAGGAAAGGAAACGACTGCAGACTGTTCTCGTCTCCTCTAATACAGATCCATACGTACAAGAGATGATCGTTAATCAGGAGATGCAGAAGTTTAAATCTACATCGTGTGAGGACTTACTTTCGTTGGAAGAATTGGAAAGGGCCGAAATGGAAATCATCCGACTTTCTCAAAGAAAGAGGTTCCCGGAGGAACTAAATAGTCTACGCAAGCATGGAGTAGTCAAACAAAATAGTCCTCTTTATAGTCTTAATCCAATACTTCAGCATGATATTATCAAGGTTGGTGGACGTCTTGCTAACGCATTGATCCCTGAACACTCTAAGCACCCAATTATATTGGCCAAAGATCTACACATTTCTAATCTAATTCTGCGACAAATTCACGAAGAAGTGGGACATAGTGGACGGAATTTCATGTTGGCGGCTCTTCGACAGCGATATTGGATCCCTGGAGCCAGCGTAGCCATAAGAACATTTCTGTCAAAATGTGTGGTGTGTAAAAGGTTTAACGCAATTGCAGGTCATCAACAGATGGCTGATTTACCTCACGATCGAGTCTCACCAGACAAACCCCCCTTTACTCATGTTGGACTGGATTGCTTCGGTCCATTTGAAGTAAAGAGAGGAAGAACCACACTAAAACGTTATGGAGTCATTTTCACTTGTTTGAACATTAGAGCCGTTCACATCGAGATGGTTGCTTCACTGGACACCGACTCATTCATTCACGCACTTAGACGTTTTATCGCTCGACGAGGACAAGTGACAGAAATACGTTCAGATAATGGAACGAACTTTGTCGGGGCTGATCGTGAATTAAAAGAGGCGATACAAAATTGGAACCAGAGTCAGATAAACGACGTTCTTCTACAAAAGAAGATTAAATGGACTTTCAATCCTCCTACCGGTTCACACCACGGGGGGATCTGGGAAAGGCTCATCAGATCTACAAAGAAGATACTGAACTCCATTCTGCGAGGGCAGAGTTTGAATGAAGAAGGTCTTCATACTCTCTTGTGCGAAGTAGAGTCTATACTTAACAACCGACCCATAACCAGATCATCTTTGGACCCTGATGACATGGAAGCTTTAACACCTAATCATCTTCTCCTTCTAAAAACAAAGTTTACATTACCACCTGGATTGTTTGAGAAGGAAGATTTGTATGCCCGTCGAAGATGGCGTCAAATTCAGTATTTAGCCAACCTGTTTTGGAAAAGATGGATTAGTGAATATCTACCTTTACTGCAAGAACGCCAAAAGTGGATGGTAAAGACGCGGAACTATCAGTTGGGAGATGTTGTTCTGTTAATGGATGAAAATGCACCAAGAAGTTCCTGGATCATGGGTAAAATTATTCACGCAATAACGGACAAAAAGGGATTGACAAGGCAAGTTAAGATCAAGACTAGGAGTACCTGCTTAACCAGGCCGATTACCAAAATTTGTCGTCTTCTGGAAGCTGAGGAATTTAAAGATTAACTATGACTGACATTTGAGAGCTCTCAACTGACTTTTGACATGACCTTTTGACTTGGACTTGACTGATTTACGGACTTTACTGACTTAGACTTGAACTTTGTATGAACTTTACTCCGTTACAATGATGAACACTTGAGTGCCTTGGACACTTTCGCACACATGTATTGTTTCACATTTTCTTAAGCCTTTGTGAAAAGAAAAAAAAAGGGAAAATCATGTATAACAATTATATGTGTTAATATTGTTCATGTTTTGATTATTGCATTAGTATTGTGTAATAATCAGGGGCTGGAATGTAAGTGTAGAAAATGTTTTGTCTTTTATTTTGTAATTTACGTGCGCTTCCAGGTGTGACGGTCACATGGGTATTGGTGGGTATATACCTGATAGTGTTTCCTGTTTGGGGTGTGTGGAGAGGGGGTGAGTAGCGGGGAGTGCTCACTTTCTGTTGACCGTTAGCATGTATGTTCTTCATTGTTTCTGCGTGTATGTCAATAAAAGCTACTGAATATTCAATGCAAGAAAACGCGTCACGGATATTTCCTGCTGCCTAGCCTCTCAGCGGCTATAGGTTGCCGCTACACTCTGTCTTTAGTTCTTTTTAACTTGTATCTCATTAAGGTGTGTATCTGCTTTAGCTACTTAGGTATAGCGGAGGATTTTCTTTTTCCGGGTGGGTAGTCTATTGGTCCACCTAAGTGTCAATCATTCTGGTGATATGTTTACGTAAGGCCGTCGTAGGCTACGTGCTCATCCCTATGTAGTTTTCACTTTCATGTGTATTATGTCGGAGTTACGGTTTCAGCCATTCCTTTGAAAATGGCTGAGGGTCGAAAAAGAAAAAATGTTTACTAAGTGTATGATAAGAAGAGAAAGGCCGCAGAATATAGAAACAAGACCAGAGAGATTTTGGGTTAATATCACACACTGGCGTGCGCTAAAAGCACAGGTTGGGCTTCTCACTGATGCCGCAGTCGCGAAGATTCTACCAGACAGGTAAAGTTTGTCACGCTATTTGGAGAAATCCATTTAAAATCACTAGTAAAAGTTAATGCAAGCTACAATGCTAGCCCTGGCACAAGTCATGCACCGCATAGACACGGTAAACATCTCAATTTGTCTAAAGTAGCCTTTTGTCCGAAATGGTAAATGGTATCACGCTGAAATATTCTAAAATCTTGTGTGTTTATTATTACACAAATGCAACAAGCTACTTCTCCATATGCAACTATGTATAAAAATAACGTATTAACAATGAGAGATATTAGGTTAAGGACCAACGTAATAGCACTGCTTATATGTTGCTATGTAACGTAATTGCGATTTGCAAAATAGTTTCCTCAGAACGTATTTCGTGTGATACAGGGTTGCACATATCATGTCTTGAGTCCTCGGTCACTCAATCGATCAGTATAATAAGTAAATAAAACACGGAAGGGCATTTGACATGTTGTCTTTTTTATGAATGTTTTTTAGTTAGTTTAGACTTTGCAACATAATTGTGCAAGGCGTATAGACGTTCCCTAGCTCTCGGGAGCAAGAGTGTTGTGTTTGTGCATGTGCATTTTTTTTAAAAAAATTGGAGAGGGCGGGTCTTCTCTAAAATTCGGAAAGATCCTCCGCTATACCTTTAAGAAAATTAACATCTCTGTCTCTAAACTTTTATAAGCACCCATCTTTTGAACCCCCAAAAAATGTTCAACCATGACATTGTGCCATTATTTTATAACCATTGTTTCTACCACTATTCAACTTTAGCTTAGCTGTCATATTATAAACAGCATAGAGACCATAAAATAATAAGACCACCATTTACTTGCATCAAGCAACTGTTGGTATTTTTACAGTTAGTATTAATTGTTACATTTAATTTATTGCCACACTTTAATATGTGAATTATATTATCAGAAACTGAATATTTAGCGTTGTCAGGCTTTTATTTGTGCTTAATAGCTAAAACAACAGCGACGCGCACTCGGGTCTGTGGCTGCTATACATTTGTCCTGCCACAAGACGGCGCTGTTTCAACACTATTGATGCTTCACATCTTTTCCTGGAACAAGCAGGGGAAAGCCTCTGTGCTTCATAAGGCTTCATTTGCCCTTTCTTACTAGACTTAAAATCAGGAACAAAGAAAAAAACTGGATAAAAATCTAATCAAAACAAAACAAACACAAAGCTAGAACTGACAGATAATCTAAATCTAGCACTGACTGTCAGAAGCGAGAATGCATGCACACAATGAAGGAAAACAACACATCAATGAACCAGCAAACACATGAGGGACAATATAAAGGGACCAGAGCACATGAGGATCAGGTGAGCACGATTAGTAAAAACTACTGAGGCTGGTACCATGATGGCAACAAACTCGGAGTTGCAGGTTTACGTTCGAGTTGACAAAAGTCCAACCGGGCTTCGTTGGTACCATGATGCTGATCATCAACTTTCTCTGTCAACTCAGGATTTGATCCTCCTTAGTTTAGGAGTTTAGGTGTGACATCAGTAGCGAACAGCCAATCACATGCTGAGAAAGACTGAAACTCATTCAAAACTCATTGAAATGCATTTCTCGCAAGAGAAACAGTGCGATTCACTTCTCAAATAAAAGTATTAAAATATTAATAATTTAAACAAATTTATACATCAAGAAGAAAATAGCTGTCAAAGAAAGAGGACAACTAAAAAACAAAAAAAAGTCTGTATATCAGTGCACGTTAAAGTTGTGAAGTTATATTATAGCTTTTACCTATTGATTCTAAAGTGTATTTATATTACCAACTTTATATATTTATTCATTTAAAATCTGCGTAATAGTAATTGATGAACAAAAAATGTACATATGTGATCGATTAAGGGTATAATAATTACATGAATAATTTATACATCATACAAATGTATTATTCTAAATAAGCATTACTAAAAGCCAGACGATTTTGTCTTTAATAATCATTTGCTGCAGTGACCTTTAATTTGGAGCAGAAACAGGTGGAGTGACTTTTATCACGTCAGACGTGTCACTTTGCTCACAGCTGATTGGTCAAAGTTCCGTTTGCAACCTTTCACCTGGAGCCTCACCTGCCCCGGACCAGGTTAGCCGTAGAGTGTAAGTTACTATGGAGATGAACACTGTTAAAAGCCAAACCACTTCCATGGTGCCTAAAACCCAGGGTTGCCGCAAACTAAACTGAAACACAGCTGGCTAGCCACCTAAACCGGATTCATGGTACAGGCCCCTGGACCAGGACTAAACAAGGGGGCGGGACATGAGGAGCACATGACAAACACAAACATAAACAGAGCCATGTGCTCAAACACAAGACACACAGAAACATGACACAAAGACGACACAGACAAGGCTGCCAGGGCAGAACACTGACACAAAGCTGTGATAAGTAAGACAGTAGTTCAATCTGAACAGTCTCTTGATTGTGTGTGTGATCATAGAATGAGTTTATGAGGACAATGATGTGTAACTCACCCTTCACAGAGAGAGAAACAGCAGATCTTGATGTTGATGAGTTTGGTCTTCCATCTCTCTGTCCTTTACACCAGTACTGACCCTGATCATACTCAGTCGCTCCTCTGATAGTGACAGTGTCTCTGTTTACAGTGTAACGATCAGACGTCTGTAATATTTCACTGCCTCTGTCTTTATACCACTCATATCTCCAGTCACTGTAATAAGAGTTTATCACACACTTCAGATTGACTGTTTCTCCAGTGAATACAGGACCGGCTGGTGTCACAGTCACTGTAGATGTGGGTAAACCTGAGAACAAACACAGAAACACAAACTGACTCAAACATCTCTTTCAGTGCATTGTAACAGAATTATATGTTGTAAAAGTGCATTAAAGCTCCTGCGTTCATCAGAGTCAGAATAAACCCAGAATAATCTCTGCTCAAACATTATATACTGTATTATATTCTTCCTCCAGCTCTACATGTAAATGAAGTTTAGTCTTAAAAGTAAATTGAGGATAACAATGAAAGTGAAAGCCTTCCGTTCCCACATCATTGATATTGTTTGAGACGGGACTCCATGTGTCCTTCATGTATCTTCTGAACATTATTCTTGACGACTCCCCGCAACTCCCAATCTACAGTAGAAGTGATAGAGTTGAATATGCAAAGACCATATTCTAATCCATATCTTGAAGTGGAAGCTGAGTCAGGACAGACTATAATTTCTTACACTATTAAAATGAACCAGCAAACACATGAGGGACAATATAAAGAGACCAGAGCACATGAGGATCAGGTGAGCACGATTAGTAAAAACTACTGAGGCTGGTACCATGATGGCAACAAACTCAGGGTTGCAGGTTTACGTTCGAGTTGACAAAACCAAACCAGTCCAACCAGGCTTCGTTGGTACCATGATGCTGATCATCAACTTTCTCTGTCAACTCAGGCTTTGATCCTCCTTAGTTTAGGAGTTTAGGTGTGACAACAGTAGCGAACAGCCAATCACATGCTGAGAAAGACTGAAACTCATTCAAAACTCATTGAAATGCATTTCTCGCAAGAGAAACAGTGCGATTCACTTCTCAAATAAAAGTATTAAAATATGAATAATTTAAACAAATTTACACATCAAGAAGAAAATAGCTGTCAAAGAAAGAGGACAACTAAAAAACTAAAAAAAGTCTGTATATCAGTGCACGTTAAAGTTGTGAAGTTATATTATAGCTTTTACCTATTGATTCTAAAGTGTATTTATATTACCAACTTTATATATTTATTCATTTAAAATCTGCGTAATAGTAATTGATGAACAAAAAAATGTACATGTGTGATCGATTAAGGGTATAATAATTACATGAATAATTTATACATCATACAAATGTATTATTCTAAATAAGCATTACTAAAAGCCAGACGATTTTGTCTTTAATAATCATTTGCTGCAGTGACCTTTAATTTGGAGCAGAAACAGGTAGAGTGACTTTTATCACTTCAGACGTGTCACTTTGCTCACAGCTGATGGTCAAAGTTCCGTTTGCAACTTTCACCTGGAGCCTCACCTGCCCCGGACCAGGTTAGCCGTAGAGTGTAAGTTACTATTGGCGATGAAACACTGTTAAAAGCAAAACCACTTCCATGGTGCCTAAAACCCAGGATTGCCGCAAACTAAACTGAAACATAGCTGGCTAGCCACCTAAACCGGATTCATGGTACAGGCCCCTGGACCAGGACTAAACAAGGGGGCGGACATGAGGAGCACATGACAAACACAAACATAAACAGAGC